AAAAAAAGACACAAATAACTAAAATCAGTAAATGTGGATGTTACCACCAATCTTACAGAAATAAAAACGATTGCAGGAGAGTACTCAAAGGATGCACAAAAGGCATCTGACAAAATGCAGCATCCTTTTATAGTTAAAAACAGGCAGAAAACTGGGAGGAGATGGGAGCTTACTCAACATGGTAAAAGGGCATTTACGGAAGAACCCACAGCTAACATTCTCGATGGTGAAAGACAGCAAGCTTCTTCTCTAAAGACAGGAGCAAGACGAGGGTGCCTGCTGCTATGGACTGAATGTGTCCCCCGCTAAATTCGTATGTTGAAACCCTATCCCCCAAAGTAATAGCATTTATAGTAATAGTATTCTACCCTTTGGGGGTAAGTTGATTTAGATGAGATCATGAGGGTTGAGTCCTTATGGTGGGCTTAGTGTCTTTATAAAAAGGACCGGAGAGCTAGCTGCTACCAGAGAGAGGGTTCTCATCAGAACCTGATCATGCTGACACCCTGGTCTCAGACTTCCAGACTCAAAGAACTCTGAGAGATAAATGTTGTTTAAGTCACCAGTCTGTGGTATTCTGTTACAGCAGTCTGAGTTGACTAAGACACCTGCTTTCGCTACTGTTATTCAACATTATCCTGGAAGTTCCAGCCAGTGCAATTAGACAAGGAACAGAAATAAGTGGATCCAGTTGGAATGAGGAAGTGAAACTGTCTCTAATCACAAATGACATGATCGTGTATGTAGAAAATCCCCAGATATTTTGCAAGAAAGCTACTAGAGCTGATAAATTCAGCAAAGTTTCAGGGTGCAGATCAACACACAAAAATCAGTTGAGTTTCTATGCATCCGCAGTGAACAATCTGAAAGTAAATTAAGAAAGCAATTCTACTCACTATAGTATCTAAAAGAATAAAATATCCAGGAATAAATTTAGCCAATGAGGTAAAGACTTATACCCTGAAAACTACAAAACCTTCCTAAATTACAGAAGTTCTAAATAAATAGAAAGATAGCCCATGTTCATGGATAGGAAGACTAAATATTAAGATGTCAGTATTACTCAAAGTGATCTGCAGATTCTGTGCAATCCCTATGAACTTTCCAATAGTCTATTTTTTGGAAACAGGAACCTAATTCTGAAATTTATACACACTTGCAGGGGACTCCAAATAGGCAAAACAATCTTTAAAAAGAAGAATAAAGTCGGAGGACTCTCACTTCTCAATTTTAAAACTTATCACAAAGCTACAGTAATCAAAACACTGTGGCCTTGGCATAAGGGTAGACATACAGACCAATGGAACAGAATTGAGAATCCAGAAGTAAACCCATGCATCTACGGCCAGGTGAGCTTTGATAAGTGTATCAAGGTGAGGGAAAGAATAGTCTCTTCCACAAATGGTGCTGGAACAACTAGGTTTCCACATGCAGAAGAATGCAGTGGGACCTTTGTCTCACGCTGTGTACAAAACTTAACTGAAAATGGGTCAGTGTACTCTTTTCCAAGCACAAGGTTTTTTCCAGTATCAGAAAGGATAATTAAGGTGAAAATTATTTTTAAAAAAAGGATTCTTTGGGAAAAATACTTTTTGTGTAGCTTATTCATTCTACAAATATTTATTAAGCAAAAGTGATCTGACAGCATTCTGCACTAGGCACTGGAGATACAATGGTGAAAAAAACCAAACTTGTTTTCAGCTTTAATGGCATTTATCATCGAGAGGGAGAGATAGACATTAATAAAGCAGTTACACTAATGAATAATGTAGCATTCTAATCGTGATATGAGTATCCAAGAAAGCATATGAGCTCGGAGGGCTTGTAATAAAGGAATGCAGTGTGGTTTCACAGAAGCCTTCTATGAAGAGGGGGCGCTGAGCTGAGAGACAAAGGATGAGTAGGAATTAACCGGGCTAAGACAGATGGGGAGAGAGTGGTTAGCTCCTAAGGTGCCCAGGGTTTTTGTTTGTCCACAGATAGTAGTGGACTTACTGATGGATTTCATTTTATCTTTGGTTTCTGACTCTTTGGCTAACAATGCTGAGTGGCTGTTTTTGTCTGTGTGTTCCGTCTGTCTTCCAGGATCTCAGAAGTGCTCTGTACAGAGTGAGTATTTAACAAATGGGCACTTAACTGTTAGAAAGTGTTTGAGAGTCTACTAGAAGTGAAATGTGTTTCAAAGTAATAAACTTCTGAGGCAGTTAAGAAGTTTTCCCTTTTTAAAGAAAATTTATTATAATTTTAACCTGTTATGATTAAATAATGACATTATTAGGCAGCTACTTTTAGACAAAGCGTGGTAAATATTGCCTTCTTCATAAATTATGCTCCTAGAACCTGTTTATATTTTGATTTAAAATAGATTTTTTTCCTTGTAATTTAAAACCCTATTTTGAATGGAAGTGATATGAACTACTTACGTAATTTCTGCCAAGGAATTAATATGGACTTTCTATAAACCACTGTCATTTATAATCAAAATGCTTTTAACTTACATTGATGTTGGCATTGACAAGTGGTGCTAGATTGGTAGCATAGAAAGAAATTGCATTCAGACTTGCTGGGAGATCACTGGTGCCTGAGGTTTTATAATGCTTTCTTTGGGCCATTTAACTGCTGGCAACTTTAATTCACATGACTCATAATACTGGAAATTTAAATTCACTCTTAATTGAAAAGTGAAGTTACTTAAATTCTTTAAATACTAACCTTTGGAAAACTATCTGAAAAATAAAGGCACATATGATTCTGGTGGCCCACTGCCAAAAGATTATCATTTACGTAAATATCTCTTTCAGTAGAAGAGTTTAATGTATTGAGCTCAGAAGGTTAGAATGGAGACTTCAATCTGGAAACCAGCAGTAGACTGTTGGCTTGTGAACAGCACTATTGTTCGTCGTATTGAGAACACTGTTCACATTCAAGCTTAAGCGGAGCTGGCATTAAAATTCAGTTAATTTGTTTCATGTGACTTGTCAGCTGTGTGTTTTTATCTAAATCTTTTTAGCTTCTCTTCTTAGTGTTTTATTTAAACTCCTGAAATAGATGAACTACCTTTTTAACTGTTTAAGCTCTGATATTTTGGCCAGTTTTGCAGATGATTCTGTGAAACCGTTCTCCAAGTTTTGCACTTCATTTTAGATATATTTAATAATCAGTTTGAATGCCAGTTTAATGCATTAAGAAGTAATTCCATTCCAGAGGACTTCTTGTGTGCGTATGTGCGTAAGAGGGACTTCCTGAAATTCATTTCAGACAAAATTCCTGTCTCTGTTGTCTCACCAGCACCCTGTTCTTTTCTCATCTGCTGATTTTGTTCTCTGGATTTGCCCTTAGATGGCTTTTAATAAATAGCTTCTAGCCAAGTATTGGGCCTGCGTAGTGAAGTGCTAGTCCCAGAGAAACAATGTAACTGTAATAGCTAAGGTTAGAGTAAGATCCCACTTCACTTTTTTGAAGGGCATGAAAATCTTACTGCTTCTCTAAAACTAGACTCAGTAAAATCTCACAATTAATTTCCTTGACTAATTGGGAATAGAGTGTTTTCAAGATGCCTCCAAATTTATAGTGATTTTTAGACAGCTTTATGAGCTTTAAATTGTACAATTCCTGAAGTTTATATATGTGTGTGTGTATACACACAGACACACACACACACACACACACCCCAAATCACCACCACCTGCAGGAGAACAGGCTTATCTGTCACTTCCAGAAGTTGCCATCTATTCCTTTGAAATCCCTCCCTGTCGCTTTTCACCCCCACATCCCTAACTGCACAGGCACCCCTTATCCTCTTTTTGTCACTATAGATCGGTTTACACTTGCTAGTTTTATGTAAATGGAAAAATAGAACTGTGTGCTCTTCATTTGCTATGTTCTTTCACTCAACATAATTTATTACGAGGTTTATCCATGTGGCACATATCAGTAAGTTCATTCCTTTTTATTGAAGTAGGGTACCACAAGTCACTTTTCTCTTCATTGTTAGTGGATATGTGGGTTGTTAGTGGATATTTGGGTAATTCCAGTGTTCTCATCCATCTGCTTGTCTTTTAATTTCTCTTTGCCATTTTCCATTCCTTTATCTCTCTGTGATGTATTTTTATTTACTGCCTCAGATCGGCACATGGCCTGGCATGTAGTATGTTGAACCCTATGGAGTTGTCAGTATTTGACCATTTTGACCTATAAAAATGGCAGTTTCAGACAGTTCAATATAGAGGTGTTTACTAAGTAAATTTTCAGTGAATATCACTTGTTTTTGCATTTAAGACCTCTGCCTGATACAAAATCATTTCCATATGTAAATTCAACTGTGTAAAAAATTCTGCATAATAAAAAATAGACTAAGTGACACTATATTAGTAGCTGTTGTGTCTGGGTGGTGGAATTATGTGTTTTTTCCCACTTTTTCTGTATGTCTCTGTCATATATATATGCTTAAATAGTAACTATAGATTACTTTTACAGTAGGAAATAAATCTTTTTTAAGAAAGGAAAAATCTGTGCTTTTTTTCTAGTTTAAGTGATTTATTTAAAAATTATTCTTTATTCTTTTCTTTGTAACGGCGAGAACCATAGTATTTTAGAATAAACATAGAGTTTGAAGTCAGATTTTCGTCCCTAGTCATGTGACTTAGGCAGGCTGTTGCATGTGTCTGAGGCAACTGTTCACATGTGTAAAATGACGACTCATTTAATCTCCACTGAGAGGTAACCATTAGCGTATGACATGCGTTACTTCCCTTCCGCTGGTTCCCGAGCCCACGTCCTACCTTTGGTAAAAGGCAGTGTAATTCTACCTCAGACTTATCCCCTTAGTAATTCTGTAACTATACCACTGACTTATTCTTTTTTTCTTTTCGTTAAAAAACATTATGAGAGCGTTATCATGTGTTACTTGTCTTTATAAATAACGATGTTTAAGTTACATGCAGAACTTGCCTTCTTAATAGTGACATTAACGACCATTTTCATTTGTTTCTTATTTGAAGAATATCAAAGAATATTCCAACAACTAAAGATGTCGAGCCACTGCTTGAAATAGATGGAGATATAAGAAATTTTGAAGTGTTTTTGTCTTCAAGGACTCCAGTTCTTGTGGCTCGAGATGTAAAAACCTTTTTGCCATGCACTGTAAATCTGGACCCCAAACTACGGGAAATTATTGCAGGTGGGTGTTGGTAATAAATTGGATTTTTCTTCTCTAAAGTACTAAAGAATTTTCCTGTTTCTAACCTAGCTATTATATAAGTTTCTCCTGTTCCTTGAAAAACTAAGAAATACTGAATCAGGCACTGCATAGGAGAATTAATGAAACTGGGGCTCGGCAGTCTTGACTTCCTTTTGGGAACAGTAGGAAAGCATTATTTGTTAAATTGACTTTAGTATGTTTCCCAGCCTATCCCGGAACCGTCTTTGGAATCAGACTCCTTTTAACATCCAGTCCCCACTTGAAGATGTCAGTCCCTTGTAATTTTTCTGTCACCAATCTTCTGTCTTTAATAAGGATCTCTGTCCAGAGGAGTAAGAAAATTAATATTACTTTAAAAATTTTAGCTTAAATCTGTGGACTGGAACTTGAGGTTAGTGACATGAAGATTTTGGGATAATTTAAGTTGTTCTTGAGTCACTGCTGTTTGCCCATGAACACGCACAAATCCTTATTGAAGCGTACAAGCTTTCATATGATTCAGGTGCTGCTCACCCACCTTTGAGTTTTCCAGGAATTATGAAGAGAGAGCTTTATACTCCTACATACATTTTTCAGGTACTTGTTACAAAGCTGTTGTCAGAGGTGTATTTTGTGGCTGTGGCGTTGTTTGTTGTTCCTGTAGTTTACAAACCCCTAGTCCTCGCTGACATGACGTTTACTGCACAGGTGTGAATTATTCGTAATCAGCAAGGCCTTACAAATCATAAGAATTGTTAGAATAGTACAAACGAATAGCTACCTTCAAAAGTCAGGAAAAATTACAGTTCTAGTAACTGAAAAGAAGACTCCAGATGTTGGTGACTTAAACGGTGAAAAAGCTTGTTTGTAAAATAGTTGAGCTTCTCTTTCCAGAATGTCAGTGGAGCGTCAGGATTTCCTGTCTGCTGCTTTAAGCCAGTTGGAATCCCTGGCAAGAGCGATAAAGTCATGTTTCTATCTGGTAACTAAAGGAGGAGGTGGCAGTGGGACTAACTACTGATGTTCTGTTTTCTTTTGCCTTCTGCGGCATCGGTTAATCTTTCAGATGTTCGCGCTGCGAGAGACCAGATCAGCATCGGAGGACTTGCCTACCCCGCGCTGCCTTTACACGAAGCGCCCCCTCGGCCACCGTCGGGCTACAGCCAGCCTCCGTCCGTTTGTTCCTCCTCCGCTTCCTTCAATGGGCCGTTTGGAGGTGGGGTTGTGTCTCCACAGCCCCCCAGCAGCTACTACAGTGGCATGACGGGGCCCCAGCACCCATTCTACAACAGGGTAAGGAGGTGCTGGGGGCTCACTCTGAGCACCGTTGTGCGGGGAGATACCCGAAGCGTTGTGCTTAGGGAGCCTGTTACTATTTTGAAACTGTGCCTTAGTTTTAAAAGGTAAAACATGTTAAGTTTGAACGTAATAGGATATTTTCAAAATCAGGAAATGTTTAAA